TCAAAAGTCATTTCATTCCAAATACGTTTTGCTTACTGTGAGTCGGTATTTCCTCTGTGGAAGTCTCAAGTCTGGTTTCTCAATTCCTTGAGATTTTACCACAGCCGTCTCAGGGCTGCCTGGCCAAGGGGAGTTGAGACCCCCAGAGAAGGAACACAGCAACCTCCAGCATGGGCAGTCTCGATGGAACCTCCAAAATGTTGTGGCGATCCAGCACTCACACAACAGGAAAGAATGAAACAGAGAGGAATCAATAAAACACAAACACAGATATAGCTGATCAGTAATTATTATTTAGTTGTTGCAACAAACAAACAATAATGGGGAGTACATCACCTGCTGCCACAGCAGCCAATCACAGAACTGCCCCCACGAACAGAAAGATCTCATGTCCTTTATGCATGCAAAACACACACGAACATACACTTGAAACAGCATACGTGGCAGAGATGTTCCAACCTTATACAGTCATACATGTTGCATCCTCTGAGTTCTACATGATCCCAGAGTTCATGACCTTATTTAGCAGCTACCACACATCCCAATGTATACAACTGCTGGTGAAGAGTTTCAGCTGGTTGCCTATATATGGGCCATTTTCCAGCAAACCAAATGAACACCACACAGTCCACTATACTGTTTCTTAATACCATGTGACATTAATGAATATACCAGAAATACGCTGTGATAAACATTCTGCCATAACAGTATCATCGGACCTGAGGCCGTATGTTTTGGACACTCGGGTAAAGAGAGGGGCGGAGTTGTCAACTGATCACCATCTGGTGGTGAGTTGGATCGAGTGGCGGGGGAAGCCTCTGGACAGACCTGGTAAGCCAAAACATGTAGTTTGGGTGAACTGGGAACGTCTGGAGGAGGCCCAAGTTCAGGAGGCCTTCAACTCACACCTCCGGCGGAGCTTTTCGGGCATTCCTGTGGAGGTTGGGGACATTGAACCAGAGTGGGTGGTGTTCAAAGCCTTTATTGCCGAAGCTGCGGCGGGGACCTAGTAAGGATGCCACCTGGGCGCCTCCCTAGGGAGGTGTTCCAGGGACGTCCAGCTGGGAAGAGACCAAGGGGTAGACCTAGGACCAGGTGGAGGGATTATATCTCTTCGCTGGCCTGGGAGCGCCTTGGGATCCCCCAGTCAGAGCTGGTTGATGTGGCCAGGGAAAGGAAAGTTTGGGGGTCTCTGCTGGAACTGATACCTCCGCGACCCGACCACGGATAAGCGGGAGAAGATGGATGGATTGATCTCAAAGGGAATACATCAGAGCGCTACAAACTGCTTCTATCTGTCTTCTGTAGATATCAGAGAAGTACGGGTTGGCCACAGAGAGGATAGCCAAAGTGTACAAGAAAAGTAAAAAAGGGTGAGTGAGGAAAGCCATCCTCCTTTTGGGACAAACAACACATTTAACGACTTATTGATCGATGATTCGTGTCTCTGATCATCGGTAGCTTTGTACCTTTAATTAGCTCAGGGTTCAGGCTCTGAATCAACACATTTAACGACTTATTGATCGATGCTTTGTGTCTCTGATCATCGGTAGGTTTGTACCTTTGATTAGCTCAGGGTTCAGGCTCTGAAACAACACTTTCATCTCCACTTTCATCAACAAATCAGATGCTATTATTCAGTGGATTTCCTCCAAACTGAATTTGACCTAGCAGCAACTGTTTCCAGGTCACTGCTGAATGGAGCGCTCTGATTGGTTGACCGGGAAGACAACAACGAAGAAGAAGGCAGATGACGTCACGGTGAGAGCGTCCCCTAGAGACCCGGATGAATAAAACCTGGAAGAGCGATTTTAGAGTAAAAAGTACATATTATTTTAACAAGTGTAAAAAATATCTTGCATGATATCTAAAACAAGGACATACCTATTTGCATCAATATGTTGTGTAATAATACTTTTAACTGTGATATTAATAATAGGCACTGATGATTGTATTACTTATTATAAACGCAATAAATGAATATTTCTTTTTATTATGTTGTTTTCTATTTATATAAAACTATTTGTTTACTCATTTTAAACTTCCCAAGCCTGTGAATATTTGATTAAAAAAAGCTCCTTCCATTCCTAGGCTGCTTGTTAACATCACATTCAAATATGTAAATATATATATATATATATATAGATGTAATGTATTATGATGATGATTCCAAAGAGTGTCAAAGTGATGAGGGTGAGCAGTGGAGAGACAGCAAACAGTGTCCACCAGGTTCAGATTGGGGCACTGTGCATTCAACATTACAACTGAAGGAAAACCGGAATCAGCGGCTCCCAGCCATACAGTCTATGCTCCCAACCTGTGGGCCGCGGTCCCCTAGTGCAGTGGTTCCCAAACGGTGTGCCGTGAGGCAAGTCCGGGTGTGCCGTGGGATTTTGTGACAACCATACGTTATTATTGCAATATACAACTACACAAAAATAATTATTTTTTAATTTACTCTATCAGTACTGTATGCACTCATTTCATAATACAGAGGCAAACTCTATACCTAAAAACAATTCTTTAAAAAAAAATCCTCACAGAACCCCATATTTCGCTGTTAACGCAGTTGCACAGGTGGGAATTATAAGACCGTGACACATCGAAGGCTGAAGGACAACATTAAAACAGAGAAACACGCAAGAGGGAAAATGGAGCGCTTTCTTGTGCGGAGCAAACCACCAACCACCAGTGCAGAGACTGCCGACAACCCACCACCGAAAGAAAAGAGGAAACAAACTGTCAGCAGACAGTATCATGAAAGTTACCTGTCTTATGGCACTGCAGGCGAGCGGCAGATTTCCCCTACAAATAGACGAATCTACTGACATAAGTGGGGCTGCCCAACTGCTGGCAAACGTCAGATATGTTGATGCTGACTCTATCAAAGAGACGTTTTTATTCTGCAAAGAAATGGAAAGCCATACTACGGGAGAAGATGGTGAATTACATCAAATCAAGGCCCCTGAAATCTCGCCTCTTCTCCCAGCTGTGCGCCGAGATGGGAGCCGACCACCAAAGCCTGATCCTCCACACAGAGGTACGTTGGCTGTCACGGGGGAAAGTCCTATCCCGTCTTTATGAGCTTCGGGAAGAGCTTTTGGAGTTTTCACGTGAACACGCTGTCCCACATAAAGACAAGCTCGCGGATGAGAGGTGGTGCGCCAGGCTGGCTTACCTCGCAGACATATTTGGGCATCTCAACGAGTTAAACGCCAAGCTTCAGGGCAGGAATGAAAACATTTTATCATCCACAGACAAGATTCGGTTCTCTACTCTGGTTTACATGAAGAACAACAGGAGGTCACGGCTCTCTGTTGAACAGGACTTGCGAGTGGCCCTCTCCTCAGTGCCATCAAGGATTAAAAAAATCTGCGCGCCCCGACAGGCACATGTATCTCACTAATTTGTAAGTCGGCAAAATATTTACAATAGCACATGTTTCAATGCTGATTGCTGAAATGTTACATTTATAATTTGTAGTTCAGGCCCATGGACAGTGCAGCTTCCTTGCATTGACAGTTCTCTGTGCTGAATTTCTGCTGAGTCTTTGCCTCATTTTTAATTTTGTGACCTGTCTGGTTTAAATGAGTGTGTTGCTGCTTTGATGAAGCCTAATTTCATAAAGTTTCAAATGTAATTTCTGAAATATTTCGTTAATAAATATTTCATGAGTAATATAGTTGTCTTTGTCACATTTTATTTGACATTAGTAAATAATTATGCACATTTACAGATATTTTACATGATATGAGTGATAACACGTGTTATAAGGGCTATTTTGCACAATAGGTGTGCCTTGAGATTTTTACTTGTCCTTTGGTGTGCCTTGGGCACAACAAGTTTGGGAACCACTGCCCTAGTGGTCCGCAAAGGCATTGCAAGTGGGCCGCCAAATAATCTTTTTAATTTTTGTATTTGTACAGGCTAAAGACACAAACATGGACATCACAATAACATATAGGAGATGACATTCCCATCTCAGACAACAACACAACCAGAAGAAATAAAGATACAGTCAGTAGGATCACTTCAACATTTCACAAACACAAATAGGTTGCCAACATTAGGAAGTGATGCTCCTGACTAGCATACAAGTTTAAGAAGATAATATTAGTTTGAAAGAACTCAAAGCAATAAACAACAGGCTCTGTAACCAAGGCAACGTTAGCCTAACATGTTAACAGGTCAACTAGCTGTTCACACTAATCCTAATATTATCCCTAAATATTAGCAAATTCTATTTTATTTTTAAAACATATTGATGTAACTACATACACATATCGGTGTAAAGAGTGACACACACAGCTGGGAGACCAGGGGACACTAAAGAGTGACGCACACAGCTGGGAGACCAGGGGACACTAAAGAGTGACGCACACAGCTGGGAGACCAGGGGACACTAAAGAGTGACGCACACAGCTGGGAGACCAGGGGACACTAAAGAGTGACGCACACAGCTGGGAGACCAGGGGACACTAAAGAATGACACACACAGCTGGGAGACCAGGGGACACTAAAGAGTGACGCACACAGCTGGGAGACCAGGGGACACTAAAGAGTGACGCACACAGCTGGTCTCTCCAACAATGTGATCACATGACTGTAAACCGACCCTCATTAGAAACTGATGACTGGTCAGTTCTCAGTGTTTCAGGAGACATCTGCTCCGAACAAAGACTCTGAACCACTGAAGCCTCCATGTCTTCAGAGCTCCAGCAGAGTGTCTCACCTGGCAGGTACGTCTTCTCTTTGGGACTATCTGGTGTTTCCATGGCAGTGTCTTCTCTTTTTGTAATGTGTACTTGTTGTAATGTGTACTTGTTGTAATGTGTACTTGTTGTAATGTGTACTTGTTGTAATGTGTACCTCTTTGTAATGTGTACTTGTTGTAATGTGTACTTGTTGTAATGTGTACTTGTTGTAATGTGTACTTGTTGTAATGTGTACTTGTAACCCCAGTTCATGTTTCACCAACAGGTTGACTTCATGAGATCATGGACGCTGCTTTTTGTGAATCTTTATTCAAATTAATGACGATCACTACAGTCTTCAGCATCAGCTTTAATACGTTGCTTCAAGAAAACTTTATTACAGACACAATCAGTGAGACACATGGTAACCAATGAGAAGCCTCGATTTAAAACACCAACATTTAAACCCCAGGACAGGAAGTGGTCTCCTCCTACAGAGGACACAGAGACACTGAGGAGTCAGGCCATACCCCAAACCCAGCGTAGAGAGGTTCAGTGAATGTGGTTCTGAAGGTGTGGAGGTGGGTCAGTGTGTCAGAGGAGACTCTGTAGAAGGAGAGAGAGCCAGCAGCATGATCCAGATACACTGCTACTCTACCAGAGGAGGAGGAGAAGGAGAAGGAGGGGGAGGAGGAGGAGATGGGTGTTTCTCTCTTATTGTGCCAGACAGAGTCACCATAATCAGAGCATCTCAGACACCAGGACTGATCATTATATCCGAACCCACAGTCCCCACTGCGTCCTCGCCTCCTGATTCCTCTGTAAGTCACTGATATAGAAACCACTCCTCTCCTCTCGACCTCCCAGTAACAGCGACCAGTCAGAGCTTCTCTGCACATCAGCTGAGCCCAGACATCAAACCTCTCTGGATGATCAGGATATGGCTGCTCGTATCTCACATGTGTCCCCTTCCTGTTGTTCTCAGACAGGATGAGGTTTCTGTGTGCTGTGTTTGAGTCCAGGGTGAGTCCACAGGAATCTGATGAGAGACACAGACAGCAGTTTATCATCAGACTCACCTGCAGGCTTTCCTCTCTGTTAGTGATCTTTCTATAAAGCTTCAAGAGGTCATGTTCTAATGAATAAATAGCACCTCCATCATCTGTGTCTTTAGAGAGAAGCTGACTGATCCACACTTACACTTCATCAGAACTGGTTTTAACCTCTGCTCTCCACCATGGTCCAGCCTGGAGGAAGAAACACATGTGAGAAACAGAACAGCGTATTGTTAGAATAAAGTATTTATCAATGTTCATCATAATAATAATAAATCCTATGTGTCCGAAGGGAGCAGGAGGGAGCAGATGCTTATTGATCCCCCTTACTTAGTGCTGATCAATGATTATCCTTTCAATCATTTCTGCAAGTTATTCCTACTTACATATTTACATTTATACATTTACAATCATTTCTCCTCTTCAATCTCCTTTCTTCATTCTCATACTTTCCCAAAGAAGTGTTTCTGTACATCCTTCAAAGTGAATGCTATGTGTGCTTTGTTTGAACTCCTGCTCCAAGCCGCTCCATGAAACCCCCCCCCCCCACAGATTGTTCTGCTCTTCTCAGAGTTCTTCTGACCTTGAGTTGTTTCAGATGTAGATCTCCTCTCAGATGATACCCCCCCTCTCTGTCTATGAACAACGTCTGTAGTGTCCTAGGAAGTAGATGATCTCTTGCTCTGTACATGATGCAGTTTGAAATGTAACCAGATCAGTAAACTTCAGTGTGTGTGACTTCAAGAATAATGAATGAGTGTGTTCAAGATATCCAACATTATTGATTACTCTTAGAGCCCTTTTTGTAATGTGCATAACGGCTGCAGGTTGGTTTTGTGTTTCCCCAGATCTCCACACAGTAACTCAGACATGGAGATATGAGTGTATCACACAGAGTATATCATGATGTGATATGAGTGTATCACACAGAGTATATCATGATGTGATATGAGTGTATCACACAGAGTATATCATGATGCGATATGAGTGTATCACACAGAGTATGTCATGATGTGATATGAGTGTATCACACAGAGTATGTCATGATGTGATATGAGTGTATCACACAGAGTATATCATGATGTGATATGAGTGTATCACACAGAGTATGTCATGATGTGATATGAGTGTATCACAGAGTATATCATGATGTGATATGAGTGTATCACACAGAGTATATCATGATGTGATATGAGTGTATCCCACAGAGTATATCATGATGTGATATGAGTGTATAACACAGAGTATATCATGATGCGATATGAGTGTATCACACAGAGTATGTCATGATGTGATATGAGTGTATCACACAGAGTATGTCATGATGTGATATGAGTGTATCACACAGAGTATATCATGATGCGATATGAGTGTATCACACAGAGTATATCATGATGCGATATGAGTGTATCACACAGAGTATGTCATGATGTGATATGAGTGTATCACACAGAGTATATCATGGGGTCCCCTTCTGGAGCCAGGCCCAGAAGGAGGACTCGTCGGCGAGCATCTGGTGGCCGGGCTTGCCACGGTGCCCGGCCGGGCACAGCACGAAAAGGCAACGTGGGCAACACCTCCGCTTCTCCATCCCGCGGGCCCACCACCTACAGGAAACAGCAATGGGGTTGGGTGCGCTGCCAGAAGGGTGGCAGTGAAAGAACATAAGGATGCTAATACGTGTACGTGGTACCAGAGCACCCTAGGCAGTTATCGTATCATCGGACCTGAGGCCGTATGTTTTGGACACTCGGGTAAAGAGAGGGGCGGAGTTGTCAACTGATCACCATCTGGTGGTGAGTTGGGTTGAGTGGCGGGGGAAGCCTCATGACAGACCTGGTAAGCCCAAACGTGTAGTTCGGGTGAACTGGGAACGTCTGGAGGAGGCCCAAGTTCAGGAGGCCTTCAACTCACACCTCCGGCGGAGCTTTTCGGGCATTCCTGTGGAGGTTGGGGACATTGAACCAGAGTGGGCGGTGTTCAAAGCCTCTATTGCCGAAGCCGCGGCGGGGAGCTGTGGTCTCAAGGTCTTAGGTGCCTCAAGGGGCGGTAACCCTCGAACCTCCTGGTGGACACCGGTGGTCAGGGAAACCGTCCGACTGAAGGAGGCCTTCAGGGATTTGTTATCCCGGGGAACTCCCGAGGCAGCTGCAAGGCACCGACAGGCCCGAAGGGCAGCAGCCTCAGCCGTGGCCGAGGCAAAGCAGCGGGTGTGGGAGAAGTTCGGAGAAGACATTGAAAAGGACTTTCGGGCGGCACCACCAAAGTTGTTCTGGAAAACTGTCCGACACCTCAGGAGGGGGAAGCTGTGTACAGTAAGGATGGGACGTTGTTGACCTCAACTGATGGAGTGTTAGGGCGTTGGAAGGAACACTTTGAGGAACTCCTGAACCCGACAACTCCGCCCTCTATGGTAGAGGCAGAGCTGGAGTATGACGGGGGATCAACACCAATCTCCCGGGGGGAGGTCACTGAAGTTGTCAAACAACTCCACAGTGGCAAAGCCCCGGGGGTGGATGAGATCCGCCCAGAAATGCTGAAGGCTCTGGGTGTTGAGGGACTGTCATGGTTGACACGTCTCATCAACGTTGCGTGGAAGTCGGAAACAGTACCGAAGGAGTGGCAGACCAAAAAAGGAGGGGTCAGGCCGATTGTCGAACCTCAGATTGAGGAGGAACAATGCGGATTCCGTTCTGGTCGTGGAACGACGGATCAGCTTTTTACTCTCGCAAGGATCCTGGAGGGGGCCTGGGAGTACGCTTATCCGGTCTACATGTGTTTTGTAGACTTGGAGAAGGCATATGACCGGGTTCCCAGGGAGTTACTGTGGGAGGTGCTGCAGGAGTATGGGGTGAGGGGGTCTCTACTCAGGGCCATCCAATCTCTGTACTCCCAAAGCGAGAGCTGTGTCCGGGTCCTCGGCAGTAAGTCGGACCCATTTCAATTCGGACCCTGGCGGAGGGTTGGCCTCCGCCAGGGCTGCGCTTTGTCACCAATCCTGTTTGTAATATACATGGATAGGATTTCGAGGCGTAGTCGTGGGGGAGGGGGTCTGCAGTTCGGTGGACTAAGGATTGCACCACTGCTTTTTGCAGATGATGTGGTTCTAATGGCTTCATCGGTCTGCGACCTTCAGCTCTCACTGGATCGGTTCGCAACCGAGTGTGAAGCGGCTGTGATGAGGATCAGCACCTCCAAATCTGAGGCCATGGTTCTCAGCAGGAAACCGATGGACTGTCCACTCCAAGTAGGGAATGAGTCCTTACCCCAAGTGAAGGAGTTCAAGTATCTCGGGGTCTTGTTCTCGAGTGAGGGAACAATGGAGCATGAGATGGGCCGGAGCATCGGAGAATCGGAGCGGTACTGCAGTCGCTTTACCGCACCGTTGTGACGAAAAGAGAGCTGAGCCAGAAGGCAAAGCTCTCTGTCTACCGGGCCATTTCCGTTCCTACCCTCACCTATGGTCATGAAGGATGGGTCATGACCGAAAGAACGAGATTGCGGATACAAGCGGCCGAGATGGGTTTTCTCCGCAGGGTGGCTGGCGTCTCCCTTAGGGATAAGGTGAGGAGTTCAGTCATCCGGGAGGGACTCGGAGTTGAACCGCTCCTCCTTCGCGTCGAAAGGAGCCAGTTGAGGTAGTTCGGGCACCTAGTAAGGATGCCACCTGGGCGCCTCCCTAGGGAGGTGTTCCAGGCACGTCCAGCTGGGAAGAGACCAAGGGGTAGACCTAGGACCAGGTGGAGGGATTATATCTCTTCACTGGCCTGGGAGCACCTTGGGATCCCCCAGTCAGAGCTGGTTGATGAGGGGAAAGGAAAGTTTGGGGCTCTCTGCTGAAACTGCTACCTCCACGACCCGACCACGGATAAGCGGGAGAAGATGGATGGATGGATGGTTAACTCACTGCTGTGAACATAATCAAGGGAAATGAGACTTCCTTCATGATGGAAGACCAGAGATGAAGGAGATGAAATTAGAAAAATATGAGGAGTCACTCTGTCCATACCTGAGAGTGTCCAGTCCAGAGAGTGTATCCTCCAGTCTAGCAAACGGCAGCTTCTCTCCTGAGTCTCCTCGATGATTGTAGCTCAGGTCCAGCTCTCTCAGATGGGAGGGTTTGGAGCTTAGAGTTGAAGCCAGAAAAACACAGCCTTCCTCTGACAAAATAGCAGGTTATTTTCCTTATATCAAGTCATTGGATATTGTTGCATAATTATCTGTACATTGTCCAGTATAAGTTCCACCCCACAGAGAACCATCAGTTTTCCCACAGAGAACCATGGCCCTAAACCTGACTGACTCTTATTCCTGCTACTGGGAGATGAGGCACGATACCAGCAGATCCCAACACCCACTGAGGGTGTGGACACAGCTCTCTCTCCAGTTATACAGGAAGTGGATGGCTCTTACTGTGTCGCAGTATACTCCTGCAGTAGCCTACCATCTACAACACACCCTGGGGGGTCACAGTAATAACCCGTCCCTTCCTCACCAAGTCATGTTGGACGGCAAATGATACCTCCTTCCATTTGTAAGCGGCTGGGCCATTAGACATGACTAGGACATAATCTGCAGTGAGCAATCCCAGTGAGGCTGAGCAATGTGCTCCTCTGATGTTTAGAGCTTACCCTACAGTCCCCTTTAAAACATGGAAAATGACACTGTCTGCCTCCATGCAGCATTGAACAGGAATGTAAATCACAACTGTCCAATCTTATGTCAGGACAAACCCCCACAGTTTGTGCCTGTGGCCCCTTCTGACCACCTGAGCAACAACAGCTGTTCTCCAAGCCCTCAGCTCTGCCTCCTGAACTCAGGGTGCATCAGTCCCATTCAACATCCTGAGACAGCAGCTAACCTACACTGTGGAAAACAGCCGGGGTTTATCCATGACTCCCCGTCCTGAGATATCTGACAGTTTGGCAGGACAAACCTCATTCCAAACAGAATTGGCCATTTCCTGGGTAAACATAGCACTCAAGGACTCACTGCCATTTCAGACACAACTGATGACTTTCTGGTCATTCCTCTGATCCATCCTCTCCCCAACACTGGCTTTTTGCATCACCCACTTGTATTACATATCTCCAATGTCCCACCAGGAGAAACTCATTAATATAGCGGTTAATATTGGTGGTTCAGTGGTCAAATTCTCGCCTGGACCCCCAGGTCCGATTCTCAGCCAATGCAACAGAGTGTTTTAGTGCCGCAGTGGCGCAGTCTGTAGGAATTTGTGTTGGGAACCGATGAGTCGCCGGTTGGAGTCCCGATCGGACCAAAATAATACGGAGTGTAGACTGGTTCCTGGAGAGGTGCCAGTTCACCTCCTGCCCTCGAGCAAGGCACAGAACCCCCAACTGCTCCCTGGCGCTGGACAGACTGGCCGCCTGTTTTGTTCAGACCTCTCTCACTTGTGCTGTGCATGTGTGTGTAGTGTACTATCTGTTACCACAACCGAGTGAACAACTGAGCTGAATTTCCCCTTTGGGATGAAATAAAGCGTCTTCTCCTTCTTAATAACATCGGCTGCTAATCATAATGACGTTGGATAGTGTCAGTGTGGTCGGACTCTCAAAGCACAGCAGTCTCTTTTCCTAAGTCCTGATGAATCCTCCTATCATTAAGCCCAAGATGTTTCACAGAGGTTACGGAGTAGTGGTTAGGAAGAGACGAAAGGCGATATATTTTGGACAATTTTACCGAAACCCAAACTTTCTAATCCAGGAACGGTAATTGGATTCCTAAAATGCTGATCTATAAAGGTTCTACTACCCCTCACCTAGAACCAACAGGGTGACCTTGCCAGAAACTAGTGACCCTGACCTCTCTGCTTTCAGGTGTACCTCAACCCTGACACCATGTGGAGGTGATGGTTCTCTGAGGGGGATATCAGGAGTCTAAAAACATGATGCATTGTTGTGAAAAATAAAAAAAGTTATATTTTGGTAAACTCTTTTTTAAAGACCTACCTTCAGGGTCTGATGGGAATTTTGATAATTTCTCTTCTAGATCATTCCTCGGGATCTTCTTCAAAACGTCTCTGGTCACATTAATGGTGTTTTTGTCGTAGTGCTGAAGCATCAGTCGCACTGTGTCAATCCGGTCTGCTTTCTCTAGTCGACTCTCTGGGATTCCTGGGAATCCTAGGACCTTATCCTCCAGGTGCCACTTGAATTTTTTGAATTCTTCACCCCCCAAATTTTCTAAAGTTCTTAATAGGACATCTCTAGGTGTCTCCATCTTTTATTCCTGCAGAGCAAAGATACAGAGAAAGAAAATATTTATCTTACAGAACAATGTGTTGTTTTATTGTATTTTTGTACTTTTGAATACCATAACAGGCCTTCAGGATCCAAAGAACAGCCGCCATGTGACTTTGGATGGCTTCAATTCAGATGTCGAGTTTGTGAATGCCCTAATCGGTTCTAAACTTGTTTTAATACATTAGACTTCACGAAAGACATTCAGGAAGTCAATCATAAACTTGAAGACAATCAGCCCCATTGGTCCAAATGGACAAATCTGTGGAGCAGAGTTCCCGTTAGAATATTTTTTTGCCAGTCAAAATGTCCGTTAAAGTTGAAATCTTCCGGACAAAATTAGAAAAGTGCCGGTCAAAGGTCTTCTTTGTTATCTATTGAGCTTTAAAACAAATGTATATGATTCGATATTAAACAAACTAATTATAGTAGATTAACTACATTATTAAAAAGTGTAAAGTAACTTACAATAACGCGGGAATAATAAACGGAGCGCTTTCTCTATCCTGACAGCCCGCCAGTCTCATGCAGCTCGCAGATCCAGTAATGAATGACCCGACAATAAAAAAACATATCTATAAACTAGGTAGTTTGAGAGGTAATTAAAATAGCTACGTGTGATATTCTCATTTCATTTCATTTCAAACCTTTATTTAACCAGATTGGTCCCATTGAGATCATAGATCTCTGTCACAAACGAGCTGAGGACCAAAATGCAAAACACGGGGAAACCAGGGATAGTCTGTAACCAGCTTTATTGAAGGCAATAACTGGTAGGAGACGAAAAGGCAGGTAGTAGGCAAAGGGCTGGTCGGGGACAGGCGAGGGTTCCAGGAGAAGGCAAGACGGGAGTCGCAGGTACAGACCGGGTCAGGGAGCAGGCGTGGCAGAATAGTCCGGGTACAGGCAGGGTCAGGAATCAGGCGAGGCAGGCAGGTCAGGGACAGGCAGGGTCGGAACCGGGAGAGCAATCTGGGAAGTAATGCTGGAAAGACTGGCATGCTGCAAAGTACGATCTGGCACTGAGGTGAGAGTGAAGTGGGCCTATATACTACTGGAGCTGATGGGTGTAACAGAGTGAAAGAGAGACAGGGTGTGGCTACCAGGTGACTAAGGAATGTTAATGCAGAAAATAGGTGAGTGAGAAAGCAGACTGTGACAATCTCTTTTTCAAGGGAGACCTGCAGCAAATAGGTTCTACATGAAACATAAAACAATAAAGGACATCATACATTATATTTACAGGATACATTTACATAGTTATAGACATTTACAAGTACCCATAGTATCAACGAGCATTTCATTTAGCCTAGCTTTAAAAACATGCAGAGGAATGAGATTGCTCAGTTTCAATTCTTGCTGAAGATTGTTCGAAGCAAGTGGAGCTGCGCACATAAAAGCTGTCTTACCGAAGACAGTCCTTGCTCTTGGCACATCTAACAATACTACATCATGCGATCTCAGACAATAGCTGCTTGCAACTCTCTGTGTTATCAGAGAGCAGATATAATACGGGAGTTTACCCAACAAAGCTTTATACATAAACATGTACCAATGACTAAGCCTCCGTACAGTAAGTGATAGCAAACCTGCCTTGGCATACAGGGTACAGTGATGTGTAAGTGCTTTACAATTTGTGACAAATCTCAGTGGGCTGTGATAGGCGGCATCTAACTTGTTCAGGCAATGGGCAGGTGCATTCATATAGACCAGATCACCATAGTCCAGCACAGGTCAAAAGGTCACAGAGCCTTTTCCTGGTCTCAAGTGAGAAACAGGACTTGTTTCTGTAGAAGAAACATAGTCTAACCCTCAGCTTTTTAAGCAGGTTATTGACATGAAGTTTAAAAGTGAGACAATCATCAAGCCAGATACCAATTTATTTATAACAGGCAACCACTTCAAGTTTTATTCCTTGCATAGTTACAATATCTAAAACAGGCTCTGGTGTCTTTTTAGCTTTTGAAAAAAGCATTACCTTGGTTTTATCAACATTTAAAAGAAGCTTAAGTTCAGAGAGCTGAGTCTGAATAATGTTAAAAACAGCCTGTAATTTAACAACCGCCTCCTTAATGGAGGGACCTGCACAGTACATCACGGTATCATCCGCATAAATATGTAAAGTAGCTTCATCCACATTTTCACCTAAACTATTGATATAGATGGAGAATAAAAGTGGACCTAAAACAGAACCTTGAGGAACACCATTAGCAATGTTCAACCACTCAGAAGTGAGCCCATCAAAGTGAACACATTGGGACCTTTCAGAGAGGTAGTTCTCAAACCACCCCACTGCATGGCTGGATATGCCAATACTGAGTAGCCTCTGCTTTAAGATGCGATGATCGACGGTATCAAACGCTTTGGACAGGTCAATAAATAGAGCTGCACAACTCTGCTTATTATCTAAAATACTTGGAATGTCATTCACCACTTTCATTGTGGCAGTGATGGTGCTATGTTGCTTTCTGAAGCCTGACTGATGTTTAGACAGGATGTCATTTTTACATAAAAACTCCTTTACCTGTTCACTCACTAGGCGTTCAAGAACCTTAGCCAGAACTGATAATTTAGAGATGGGCCTATAGTTATTTAAAATAGTTGCTTCCCCACCTTTCAGCAAAGGCAGGACATACGCTGACTTCCATACTTTAGGAATTGTGTTTGTGCTGAGGGAGAGGTTAAAAAGAGTAGTGAGAGGTGGAGCAATAAAATCTGCAGCTATCTTTAAAAAGAAAGGTTCCACGTTGTCCGGGCCGGCCGGTTTCTTAGGATCTAACTTGGTTAAAGCTTCATGAACAACATTTACAGTAAAAGGAGTAAAACTGAAAGTGTTTTCCAGAGCACATTGTTCAGAGTCACAGACTGTGGTGTTCACAGAAGCAGAGTTAGTCACAGAATCAAACAGAGAGCCACAGGACACTAAATGCTCATTAAAGCAATGTAACATAGTGGCCCTGTCCGATATAGAGCCAGATGCTGTGGTAAGGCACGGAGGTAGCTCATTACGGATCTCACCGGTGGATATCGATTTTATGGCTTTCCAAAATGTCCTAGGATTATTTAGGTTTTCTGTAGTAACTGACAAATAGTACTTAGACTTAGCACTTTTGACATGTGATGTGAAGCTATTTCTTAGCTGCCTAAAACGCAGCCATTCTACCTCTGAGCCTGATTTCCTAGCCTTTGCCCAGGCCTTGTTTCTCTCATGCAGGAGACTGGACAGTTCAGCAGGAAACCAAGGATTGTCTCGTCTCTTTACTCTAAATGTACGCAGGGGTGCATGTCTATCAATGATCTCCATAAAACCAAGATAAAAATAAGACCATGCAGTTTCTACATCAGCACACAGATCGATTTTTCCCCAATCAAAGCCAAACAGATCATGAACAAAACCCTGCTCCACAAAATGTTTTATGTGTCTCTTAATGATAATACGAGGTTTAACCTTTTGGACCTTAGTGTCCCTAATTGTGGCTACAGCACAGTGGTCACTCACATCATTTGCAAATACTCCCACAGATAAGTATTTATAGGGAACATTAGTTAGAATGAGATCAATTAGGGAGGATTTATTAGGGGACTTAACGTTAGGGCGAGTAGGACTGTCAACAATCTGAGTAACATTCAGAGAGATACAAAGGTTTTTAAAATCCTCTGATACTGCAGTTAACCAGTCCCAGTTAAAATCTCCAAGTAGCACTATTTCCTTGTAGTCAGGTTGCAATAAAAGATTTGCTAGCGAAGACAAGGAGTCCTTGACAGCTGAGGGGGTCTGTAACAGCCCACCACCATGACCTGTTGACCCTTTGCCACTTCTATATTTAAGGCTAAAAATTTGAATTGCTTACTGATAGATTTGGAAACCAATGTGGTTACACTGAACTTATTCTTAACATAAATGGCAACGCCACCACCTTTATTAGGCCGGTCGGAGCGATACACATTATAACCATTTAAGGATATGTCAGAGGCCAAAATAGATTTATTTAGCCATGTTTCTGATAACACAATGACGTCAGCATCAGTCGAGCTCGCCCAAATGCGGACAAAATCTAGTTTACCTAACAGACTGCGCACATTCAAGTGGATGAAACCCAACCCAGACCTAGCTTTAAAGTCAGCAGGAGTAGCGATCTGACTACTACTACTGGGCAGACCAGGGTTAGGTTGGACATTTCCTGACAGTAATAACAACAACAAAAACAGGCATCTTTTCCTCTTAATCGACACACACACATTGTCATCTACTTTAGAATCACCGGAAAAGTCTGCCAGAGTTTGATTAGAGTTTAAGAAGCAGTCCTGAAGTACCATCATCGCAGGCAAACAAAAAAGACAAACATATTTTGTCGAGCAGATTGTCTGTGACAAAGCAACCGGTAACTGTTTGTGTAACACATCCGAACCTTTGCAGGGGATGCCCACTGCGGGTGGCAGAACAGACCTGAATCCAGTAGACTTCTCAGGATGACTAGAGATCTTCTCATTGTCCAGAACAGTTAACAGGCACAGCAGAATCACGATATGGGCCATTTCCCAGACCAGCACACAGTATCCGCGATGTTCCTGGAGCAAATCAGCACAGCAGCAAAGGACAGGCGAAAGCAGCAGCGTGGAAGCGCTCCGGTCTCTCCGTGGTATCCCCGGGGTGAAAGGTCTCCTCAGCAAAGCAGCACACGACACCGCAGCACACGACAGGTGGGAGCAGGCCAAGCCCGAAGCGTGGAGCCACTCCGTCTCTCCGCGACGACTCCGGGGTAAAAACCTCCTCAGCACAGCCGTACTCTACAGGTGGGAGCAGGCCTCCGCAGATCGCAGAGACCAGACAGGTGGAAAGCAGGCAGCAACAGGTGGAGCCGCTCCGTCTCTTCGCGACGTCTCCGGGGGAAAACCACCTCAGCACAGCCGTACTCGACAGGTGGGAGCAGGCCTCCGCAGACCGCAGACAACTAAAACTACTACTTGTATAAGCAGGGATGGCTAAATGTTTGTAAGCAGGAGAGCTAGATGCTAACAGATGCCAGATGCTAACAGGTAGTGGGAGCCTGTAAAAATTGCGACTGCCTCGCGTGAATGACAGAATCTGATATTCTAACCTGAAGTGTGTGTGTTTTGCTCCGCTCACCGCTGCATGTGATCATGCAGAGCTGCGTGTCGACTCGTCAGCAGCAGCTGATCTCTCTCTCCCGTCAGATTAGACTTTACTCGCGTTTATGTCCATATCGATCAGATCTAGCTAGTTCTAGCTAATGATATGACTACCTGCTTATTAAAAGACACCTAAACAATAAGCGTCGCTATGCAACCGGGTGAGGCCAAAAGGAATAGCGCAGCATTATGCATTTGTTTACATGCCCACCGGAGGCATTACCAACAGATCAACGCACAATCAACCCATACAGGACATCTCTTTCTCCACATTAAGTGTTAGACATTAGAATTGACTATTCTTGTCTGTCACATACTCTTTTGTCTGTCACATACTATTCTTTTCTGTCACATACTATTCTTTTCTGTCACATAAGTGGCGCAACTGATGCGGTATTGCGCTAAGGGGAAATTATTTTGACCGGAGAGATTTAAATTTGCCGGTCTTCAGCATATTTTACCGGTCATAGTCCGGTAATTACCGGCTAACGGGAACTCTGCCGTGGAGTTCCTCACACACACACACTCTCTCAGCGGCGAAACTGTGACGCGCTGTGGTGGGGGTGCTAGAGAAGCCTCGCAGCGGCGAAACTGTGGTGCGCTTACACTGTAGGTGCGCCGCGTTTGGGGGTGCGGGGGGGGCTGGGTGCTAGTGGAACCTCGCAGATGGGGGTGCTGCAGCCCCCTCACCACCCCCCCTTCCCGCGACCATTCGCGATGTCTCGCAGACCCCACGCAGCAAGCAGGAAATGAACCCAGCTCACACTGTCCGACCAACACGGCACCCAGACCCCACGCAGCATTTTCATCTGTTTGTCATTACTGGTGTCATTTTCTGGTTGCTAACGCCATAATAATAATACATTTATTTTGGGGGCGCCTCTCATATCACCCAAGGACACCTTGAGATGTCAGCCGGGGTAAGACAAGACAAACAACAGTAAATGGACTACAGAAGGACACAAAAAGACACAGGGTACAGTTTATAAAGAAAATGCCAGTTTGAACAGGTGGGTTTTGAGTTGGGTTTTGAATGTTGTTATGGAATCAGACTGTCGGATGTGTAGTGGCAGGGAGTTCCAGAATCTGGGCAGCTGAAAGCTCGAGCACCCATGGTTTTGAGGCGAGAGCTTGGGACGGTGAGAAGTCCTACGGATGAAGAGCGGAGGGTGCGGGAGGGGATGTACTCCTGAAGGAGCTCGGTGATGTAGATGGGGGCTAGCGCTTTATATGTGAGTAGAAGGTTTTTGTAGTCAATACGGTAGCATACAGGAAGCCAGTGTAGCTGAGTGAGAATGGGGGTGATGTGGTCGGATGAGTTGGTGCGGGTGATGATCTGGGCAGCAGAGTTCTGGATTATTTGCAGTCTATTGAGGAGTTTGATGGGAAGGCCAGTCAGAAGTGCATTGCAGTAATCAATCCGGGATGTGACGAATGAGTGGACCAGGATTTCAGTGCTGGGTTGGGACAGAGATGAGCGGAGTCTGGAGATGTTCCGAAGATGAAAGAAGGCGGTGCGGGTGATGTTTTTTATGTGTGGTGCGAATGAGAGGGAGTCGTCCAGAATGACACCGAGGCTTTTCACTTGGGCAGCGAATGGTATGGGGAAGCCGTCGATGATGATGTTTGGTGCTGGGGTGTTATGTGACTTGGTGAGGGTGGATTTGGAGCCGATGAGCAGGGCCTCAGTTTTGCTACTGTTAAGCTTCAGGAAGTTCCTGCTCATCCAGCTCCTGATGTCCTCAAGGCAGGTGGTGAGGGAGGTTGGGGGCAGGGCAGTGGTGGGTTTGGAGGAAATGTAGACCTGTGTGTCGTCGGCGTAGCAGTGAAAAGTAACCTCATGGTGACGGAGGATTTTGCCCAGGGGGAGGAGATATATGATGAATAGGAGTGGACCCATAATCACTGATGTTCTGCTGTAACGGTGTTGGACTCATCAGAACAGAGTTGGCGCTGACCAATCAGAGCACACTGGGCTCATACGGAGGGGGGGCAGGAGCTCCAACAAGCCGTTTAGGACAGAGAGTGAATACACATACTATACAGAGATGCTGTATGAGAAACCAATGTGAGTTTGGAACATTGAACAATGTAAATCTATTCTAGTAGACCTCAACAATGGAATTATGATCAGTAGAAATGTCCATGTCATGGGACCTTTAAATGTCTTGGTTTGGTAACCTGTCTTTAAAGAGCAGAAACTGTCTCAGTCAGATCATAAAGTGGTCTAGCAGACTGATTGGTGAGTCTCAGCTAAACCTGGAGCCCCTGCTCATCAGACCGTTACAGAGGCTGTCTAACTCCATGTTTAATGAAGACTCCCACCCCCTGCAACCTGAACTTCAGCTTCTTCCATCGGGCCGGAGGTTAATCTCCCTAAAGGTGTAGAACCAAGAGGTTTAAAAAAAGCTTTGTGGATGTTCTGGAGCCAGAGGGACTTTTTAAAGATGTGTCTGTTGTCTATATTGTATGAAGCATGTGTCACAATGGATACCTTTTCTTACTTCTGCAAACCAAGTTGACCTACTGCTACAAATAAGTACCATGAGAGAAATAAGAGAGTGACTCAGCCGGCGACCACACACCTGGTTCTGGTCTCTGGCAGTAAGCTGGTTACTGGACACAGAGCTGGGTCCAGGTCCAGGTCCAGGTCCAGGTCCAGGTCCAGGTCCAGGTCCAGGTCCAGGTCCAGCAGAATGAGGTCTTTGCTATGGGCTTGAAGACACACAGAACGTTTGAGTGAATAATGAGTACTGAGCTGTGACATGGAGAAGAGTCATGGACAGGTGAAGATGTCATGTTCCCCAGAGCCTTTAGAGGGGGGGGCTTCCTCCTCTCTGTCCTCACTCTGATCCATAGCAGAGCCCCCACCTTCACACAAACACAACAACATGCTCATTCATTACCACAAGCTTTACATCACAGGTAGCCCCTCCTCTCAGATATTCAGGAACCTTGTTGGAGCCTCAACAGGATGTGATCAGCCCAGAATGTTCCCCACAGCCCCAGAACCACACAGAAACCCAGTGTGTTGACCCATAAATATGTGTTAGTGTGTCACAGTTTATCACAGCACACACAAACAGTCACTTCAATGTAAAGGTGCATCTAAAAAAAATAGAATATCGTGGAAAAGTTAATTAATTTCATTAATTCAATTCAAAAAGTGAAACTCATACATTATATGGATTCATTACACACAAAGTGAAATATTTCAAGGCTTTATTTGTTTTAATCTTGATGATTACATCTTACAGCTCATGAAAACCCCAAAATCAGTATCTCAGAAAATTTGAATATTACATAAGACCAATAAAAAAAAGGATTTTTAATACAGAAATGTCGGCCTTCTGAAAAGTATGTTCATGTGTTTGCACTCAATACTTGGTTGGGCCTCCTTTTGCATGAATGACTGCATCAATGCGGCGTGGCATGGAGGCAATCAGCCTGGGGCTCTGCTGAGGTGTGATGGAAGCCCAGGGTGCTTTGATAGCGGCCTTCAGCTCGTCTGCGTTGTTGGGTCTCGTGTCTCTCGTCTTCCTCTTGACAATACCCCATAGATTCTCTATAGCGTTCAGGTCAGGCCAGTTTGCTGGCCAATCAAGCGCAGTAATCCCATGGTCACTAAACCAGGTCTTAGTACTTTTGGTAATGTGGGCAGGTGCCAAGTCGTGCTGGAAAATGAAATCAGCATCTCCATAAAGCTTGTCAGAAGAAGGAAGCATGAAGAGCTCTAAAATGTCCTGGTAGACGGCTGCGTTGACTTTGGACTTGAGAAAACACAGAGGACCAACAGCAGCAGATGACATGGCTCCCCAAATCATCACTGACTGTGGAAACTTCACACTGGACTTCAAGCAACTTGGACTGTGTGCCTCTCCACTCTTCCTCCAGACTCTGGGACCTTTGTTTCCAAATGAAATGCAACATTTACTTTCAGTCAGTGATGACGGTATGGGCTACAGACAGGAAGTAAACACTAACATGAACACTGTATGGACTACAGACAGGAAGTAAACACTAACATGAACACAGTATGGGCTACAGACAGGAAGTAAACACTAACATGAACACGGTATGGACTACAGACAGGAAGTAAACACTAACAGGAACACGGTATGGGCTACAGACAGGAAGTAAACACTAACAGGGACACGGTATGGACTACAGACAGGAAGTAAACACTAACATGAACACGGTATGGACTACAGACAGGAAGTAAACACTAAGAGGAACACGGTCCAGAGAGTAAAAACACGTGAGAGTCACGTGGAAAACGGCCTTACAGGATGTAGCTGTCAGCCTGCCAGGAATGTCAGTTAACCAGTCTACACTTATCTATGAATCAAAGTGGGAGGGGTTGTCCAGTAACCAGGGATAATCTACTGTGGACAATCCCCACAGGAGCCATTTGGGGTGAAGTGTCTCATGGACACAACGACATGCTGACTGCAGTGGGTTTTGAACCTGTGCTCCCCTGATCCGAACACCAACGCACTAGCCCACTGCGCCACCCGCCTCCCACTTTCCTAACAAGAGAACATAATCGAGGGGTGATCAATAAAATGTCCATATTTATATAATTCTCCAAGTTATGTCTCTGTGTGCGCTGAGGAGTCTCAAACAGGCGTTTGTTAAATCATTTTAAGATTGGCTTTAATTCTTCATATAAATGAGAGGTAACATTTTATTGATGGTATTATTTCCACACATTTCTCTCCATTCTTCCTTCTGCCAACGGTGTCGCAGTTTCTCGTCTCTCCCGTATTTCTGCGTACCGCGTACGCATGGGTCAGAGTTTGCGTGGAGGACCGCACATTTTCCGCTCAAGTTTGCTTTTTATAAATCGCAAAGATTGCTTAGAAACTGGCGTACGCCATCTTGTGAGCGTACGCTATCTTGTGAGCGTACGCTATCTTGTGAGCGTACGCTATCTTGTGAGCGTACGCTATCTTGTGAGCGTACGCCACGTTTATAAATGAGGCCCCAGGTCAGCCCAGAATGTTCCCCACAGCCCCAGAACCACACACAAACTCAGGGTGTTGACCCATAAATATGTGTTAGTGTGTCGCAGTTTATCACAGCACACACAAACAGTCACTTCAAAATATGAATATCCCACACACCTGAACTGCGCTCAGTAACCATTCAATAACATTTATTTGTTAGAAAAAATATAATTATTTGCCATATAAACAAAATGTAACAAAACGTCTTTAAAACATAATTGTTTGGCTAAAAATATGTACGTTAATACATGTTCCGGACTTGAATTAAAACAAGGTCTTCTGTGAACTGATCAGAAATGTATATTTGATATATCATTGCAACATGAACATTACTTTTCATGCTAATGTATTGTATAGCCCACTTAGATGTATTTGTTACATTTTCAAGGCTCTTCAGTGAAACCAGGTCAGTGTTGGAAGACGGGCCCTTCACACCCCTTCCCTTATTCAGAGTATTAAGAGTTAGACAGGAAAACAGTCACGACTTGTTATGGCGCATTTCCACTACACGGTCGGCCTCGGCCACACTCGGTACGGCTCGGTACGGCTTGGCCGCGTTGGGCCTTAACAGGGCCGACTCACTTCATGCTGCGCTTCCATTACAGTTTAGGAACTGGGGTAGTTACTATAGTAACGCAGTGTAGGCGGAGCCGTGACGTCATCTTCATTGAGAACTCCAGAAACACAACACAGCCGTTAGCTGTGAGCACTCAGAGCTCACAGCTCCTTATATATGTTCAGAAACTCGACAAAAGTTAAACAAGTACACACCACAGAGTGCCTGTGTCATGGTGAATACAGTCGCTGCTTTATTTATGTCTGTATAGGCCGTTGTTGTGAGTGTGGACGGTCGGAGCATATACTGCGTTAGCTTAGCCAATCTCCATCTAGAAAAACACGCATTTTAAAAGGTTTTTCGCCTGCCGTCTGTCTGCAGACTTGACAAAGCATTAATTCATGGTTTTTACTAACCGGTATCAGTATGTTGTTACTTCGGCATCATTTTGAAACGTGTATTACAATTAAATCACGGTCAAATATGTCCATCTTGTTGTAGTTCTAGCCCTCTTGCCAGCGCTCCTCTCTCTAGTTTAGCATACTCAGCCCGACTCAGCCCTGTTTGTTGGCCCCGATAGAACCACAATTTTCTAGGGCCAGAAAAGAGGTGAAAAAGTGGCCCCGCGCCGTGCCGCGCCGGAACTAGGCCTAGTGGAAGCACAACCAAAAAAGGGGACGGCACGACACGGCACGCTTAAAGCGAGCTCCGCGCTGCAGTGGAACTGCGCCATTAGAGCGGGTTCTGACATGCCCTGCACAGTGGCGGCCGGCCCATAGGGGCGCTAGGGGCGCCGCCCCCCCTCTTCCCACATTAAAAATAAAAATAAAAATAAAAATAAAAAAATATATATTTAAAAAATTATTTTTATTTTTATTTTTAATAAACAAGGTAAATATTATATAATTGGTATCAGTAAAATGTATAATCTACAATAAAATCTCGTTTAAAATTGTGTTACGATGTCTAAAGTTACTGATAAGTCACATGTTTCCTGCCTGGCCTTGCCCATGTATCATTACTCCCTCTCGTCTGGGCACTATGCACAGCGCCCAGACGAGAGGGCAGCAAGTGCAGCAGAAGCCAACTGTTGCTATCTTTAAACTATGCCGCCGAAACATAATTTCAGCCAATCAGCGTCGTCAAATCTGATGGTCACAGGGCTCCTACGTCAGCGCCCGGTGCAGTCTGTGAGTTGTTTGGACTCGTATCCAAGGAGACAAAACAGGAAGCTGTCATACACTCTGGAAGCTACCATTAGCAGCTAATGAAAACTCAGTTTTTGACATAAAAATTGAATTATGGATCATCAATCATTTTTCAAAGTGACAGACACATTGGATTAACCTATGGATTAACCTTCAGCTGCGTTTTTCTCGTTTTTGATCAGAATTGTTATTCTGCAAAAGGTGAACATGTCTCCGTGTTTTGCTACCTAAAGCTACGTCGTGTGATGTCTGTATTTGCTTCCCCTGTCGCGAGTTCTGATCGCTCAGTGATGATACTTATATTTCTAGAATCTTGTTAGCATAAGCTTGTTTGTGCATATCCGATAAGTATATCGATTGATTTTTACCTAGAGTGCGTTAGCATTTTTTTCGCTCAGGGCTCATTTAGACGCTTCTTCTGAGACTTGTGTTTTGTTTCGGTAAACATGGTTCATATCATCAGTTAGCTGCGTTTCCTCTGAGTAGGACACATGAATAGTTTATTACATTTTAAGAAGCCCTGAGACACAGTTTCGTGAGAAAAGAAACGGGGGAAAAAAGCCCCTTAACAGGTTAAATGGGAATTAAATTAAGTAATTTTGAGTGTTCCCAAAGCCCCGGTGTTCTGCAGTTTGTGTGGGCCTACTGTACTGTTACACAGTTTATGCTGTAGAAACTATGTCCAGGACAAGGTGTTTGGAAGTTTTGGAAGATTCATAGCTAACCACACTGAAGATTATGGAGGTATTGATCAGTCTTCTCATATTTTTAAGCCTCAAATTGTCCTTACCCCCCCCCCCCCCCCCCCCCCTCTAACATCACCAGAAGTCATAATTTAGGGGGTCTTACATCCCCCTGGACCCCCCTAGTATTGTTTGATCACCATTTCCACAGCCCCACCTAAAATATTTTCCACCAGCCGCCACTGGCCCTGCATTTTTCTCTGATGAAGAGAACTCAGAGAACAATCAGACTGCAACTCATTCTACTTGAAACACTGACAACAGTACATGGAGATCTTTCTAAACCCATTCTGCTTTCACTCAGAGAGAAACCCTACACAATATTTCAGACAGATGTTTAGAATCAGCATCAAGAAACATGTCCACTCACAGACTCTCTTCAGGTCCACTCACAGACTCTCTTCAGGTCCACTCACAGACGCTCTTCAGGTCCACTCACAGACGCTCTTCAGGTCCACTCACAGAAACACTGCTCGTCTCCTCTTCAGTCCTGAGTCTGTCTGCATTTCCGCTATCTTTGCTTTTTACGCAGCAGTTTAAACACCAACTGTCGCAAGTAAGAGTTCCGTGAAAGACAAACTCTGTACTTCCCCTAACAGCTGCAGAGGAAATGGAGGGGGGGGGGGTGGGTGGGGGGAGTGCCACAGTAGTTTTCCACTCAGGGCTAGCCTTTATACACAGAAAAACTTATATTATGTTCAAGGTTCAAGGTTCAAGGTTCTTTATGGTCAAACTAACATAGCTACAGAGTAATTATGTCGTTGAAAATCTTATGTCACAGGCTTCTCCAACAATGCAACATAATAACACAGATAGTAAAAGTAATACAAAAGAAAAATAGTTCTAAAGTAAAGTGAGTATGTGGAATAGTGCAGTACGAGTCTATATACAAGTTATTGGAATGATATATATTAGATAGTAGATATATGTATGTATGTATATGTATATATATATATGAGAGTGATACCTGTCTTTGTCTTCAGCACTTACTATCATTGATGTCTGTTTTATTCAACCAAATGCCTTTGCTGATAAATACTCTGTTTTGTGAGTGGCACCTTTCTGAGTGAAAACACATCTGATGCCCCTTTCACACCGGCGCTTTTCCAGCTCCTGCTCGGAGCTGGAGCTGGAAAAGCGCAGTTTTTTCCTGTTCACACCGCAGCGGCGGCGCTTCATAGCTCCGGAATGCGGTTCACTTCCAGCTCCAAAAAATTGTCGGTCCAGAGGCAAGAGCTTCGGAGCTATGACGCGGCGTCTCTTACGTCGAGGCGTGCAGGAAACCTTACTTTGACCATCCGTTCGCTGTTATTGATCATTGTGGAGAGCAGGCAGACGTTTTGTTTGTTATTATAGCAGCTATCGGATGGAATTAATACCTGGGCTGCACAGGTTGTCATGTCCGACTATCACAAGTAGAATCATAATGAAAAATACGCCGGTAAAATGTGCCTATAGAAAACGGCTTAGCAAGTAGTCAGTTTAGCTTCGGTTGCTATGCTAACATCACCCATGTTATACCAGAGAAACTTTCATAACAGCGTTGTGATGCCAAACAGCGTCAATTCAGACTGACACACATTCACTTAAGGGGAACTGGGGATATGTATCAGCTGCTTGTGTGACAGTCAGACAGTGAATACTTTAGAGCCGTGTGAGCTAACCCGGAGCTAACGGGAGAATAAACTCCCGTGGAAGAGCAGCCAGCACTGCAGCGGTCGCTAAATGCCGCTGAAACACATTAATAAACAATGAACCACGGCACTCTGGAGAAAAGTATAAGGTTGGAGAAGTCGTTATTTAATTTAATCTGGCTTCGTATGATTAAAAGCAACACGATCATCGACCCGACGCAGTCCCCGGCCCGTTGTTGTTGTGGGAGAAAATCAGCGACGTAAACTGTGACGTCATGACGCAGCAGCGGCAGCTGGGCGGTGTGAACAGAGCGGGAGCTGAAAAGGGAAACCGGAGCTGAACCAGAAAAGCTCTCGCTAGGAGCTAGAAAGGGAAAAGCGCTGGTGTGAAAGCCGCAAGAGTGACTGAAACCCAGTCAGTGTGAGAGGGGTTGTAGTTCTACTAGCTGTCCACTAACTGACCCTCTGACACAGATCACCACTGACTCATGTGATGAGGCAAGTCAGGAATAAGAAATCAAAACACCTTCATTAGTCCCACAGAGGGGACATCTACATAGTTACAGCAAAGTAAAGAGGCTAAATATTAATTAAGAGGCATGCATAACATATTAGATGGATCAATTACACAATGTACAATTTAAAAAAGTACCCCTCCAGGTGGAAAACAATAGGTACAGTAACAGTATTTAAAAAGGTTTTAAATTCAAATAAAACAAGTGCAGAATGTAGAAGTAGCGTGATAGCAAACAATATCATTGTTTGGCTTAAATAATGTACGTTCTCCCAACATAACCACCAACATAACCCTCCTGTTTATACTCAGTATAAAACTTAATTGAAAATACAAAATGTTCAAATGTAAGATAAAAGCCAAAAATAAAGTTCAATAAATTAGCTCAGCATAAATGAACCGTGTATTACAATGCCGTTATGTGATGACTTTCAAAGAGAAAAGCAAGCACACTCGGAATAATGTATTATTTAATTGTTTTATACAGTCTATGGTTGCTACCGAGGATTGTGGGTAATGTCCGTCAAACTTCCGGGTTCCTCCATGGGACCTTATTTCGGAAAAAGTATACATTAGCCGCGTTCACACCAAGTACTTTTCCCACAGTAGTTCCTGAGAACTTTAGTTCATGAGAGCTCTTTTAGTTCTGATGAACTAAAGCAGATCGCGTTCACACCAAAATGAGTTCCTGGGGGTGGATTAGGCAAATGAGCCGCTGACGTCACTTCTTCTTCTTCTGCTTTGGGTTTACTGGCAGGCTGCAAACAACTTCACGGCGAGTACAGTAGGTGGCGGTATGCACCTTAAAGTTGCAATCCGCCAAAAAACCGAGAGAAGAAGAAGAAAAGCTTCCGCTTCCGCTGTATGCTTCTGTTTACCTTCCGACCTCAGACACGGTATGGAGTTGACGTTTTGATGGTCGTGTTATACAGCTTCGTAACTGAGTTATTTAAGCCAATAACTCAGCCACAAATACAAATACAGATCGACCATTCAAATGCAATAGAAATGCTGAGTCGGAGGCGAAGGCGGTTAAGAAGCCTTAACAAAAGGATTGGACCACGAAAAGCACACGCTATGGACATGTTTCGATAGCTGAGGATGATGACCGTTATCACGCCCAAAGAACAGCAATGGTACGTTCATTAAATCACATTAATACTATCTAATGTAGGATTTATGGAGTTATGTAGGGCTAATTTGTGTCTTTGTATGTGTTCCAGATATGCGAATACTACGGAACGCGTCGTGTCCCGCGCTCTCTCTGGGTGAACAATAGAACCTCGGCCTGGTGCACACCAATGTGCAGTGGATCAAAGTGGATCTTTTCAACTCCTCTGTATTCGCCTGGAAGCAACCATTGGGGAGACGCAACCTAAACAAATCGCCACGGGGCAAGACACGCGCACAGCCCTTGAGGCATCTGAACAGCATGGAAATTGTAAATTGACAATAAAGCTGATATTTTGTACAGTGCATTTGGTTCTCTCTTTTATTTACCAGTCAACAGACACAATTACAATAGTGCAGACACACCTTTGTGCAAAGATTAAATGTCAGTATCAAAACAGTACTCATACTGTATATTTGTATATTAATATGAGTATATTATTATGTTAAATGTGTGTTAAAGACAATGGGATGAGGTTGAAAGCTCTTTAAAAAGCTTTTGTATACCATCTTTACTGTGATAAATACATACATGTTAAGCATGCACACCTGAAGAACTACGTTACACACACACAGGTTAGTCTGTGTACCGCTGCACTGCTGCTGGTTTAAACAAAGACAGTCATGATGCTAGTGCCGTGCATGTAGGTTCTCTTTTATTTATCAGAAGCAGATCAATAAGTGTCAGTAGTATCAAAACAATATAATAACAGTGGCATATATATATATAATCACAATCATACAAAATGAACTGTCCCAGGTGTAGGCAATTTGGGGTGAAGTGTCTTGCCCAGGGACACAACGACATCCTGACTGCAGTGGGGTTTGAACCTGTGCTCCCCTGATCCGAACACCAACGCACCATACCACTGCACCACACGCCTCCCAACAAGTCATTGTACAGTTTATCAACGACAAGTTTTTCTTAATTTTTGTATTGAAGGCCTGTTGGATTTAATCAGCTCGCTTAGCACTGCCAGAAGCCCAGCCTGAAAGGTATTTTGTTGCTCCACCTCGATTCCTGGGCCTTGTGTGAATGCAGCAGCCGTTCGTCGTGCATCTCCTTGGCACGCAGGTCCTCATTCTCCTTGCTGACCATGGCACGGCGGTCCATCGCCATGATGGTGTCAAGGAAGCTGTCATCGCGTGCCCACTTTCCTAAGGTGAAATATGCAAGATACAAGATCAGTTTAATCGCAACAACGAGACAACATTGTCCAAATCTGTCTCTGCAGGCACACAACAGGAGGAACACGGGGAACACCTTTGATTTGACTATTAACATTTTAAATGGTGAAGGCACTAGCAATTGGGGGATGGAGGGCTCTCAGGACATGATAGGGACAAATTGATACAAATTAAACGTTTTACAATTTTAATGCAAGCATTAATGATGCTATGAAGCTTTGAATGATTCATACCGTAATAGAATAAGCCACATAGTCTTTAAATAGCCTTAGACACTTGACAGTGACTTTATTTAAAAGTTATTTCTGTCTGTAATGCATCTTTGCACCACATTGACATGATAAGCTGCAACAATCACATTTAAATTAAATAAGTGGAGGTGGAGTGTGACTGTGTGTACGTACCATTTGACGATTGACCAGACGATGTGGACCCCATCTGCAAAGCAAAACAAGTTGATCTTACAAACACTTCCTAACATGTAAACAACGCTCTGTATGAACGTGTGAAGCAGAGTGTTAGCCCACCTTGGGGGAGCGTGTCTGGGGTAAGTTGACGGAGTGTTTCAGCCTTTTGACGGCCTCAGTGATGGCCTGGGTCTCCGTCTCGTCCAGAGCACAGCACAGGTTCTTCAGAGTCTGCACCACCCGCTCCACCGTCTTATACTGGGTGCTCTGAATATAGAGATACACGTTGGTCAGAGGTAGGAAGTAGCGGAGTACAAATACCTCGTTACTGTACTTAAGTACATTCCACTACTTATTTTTCTGATCACTTTTTACTTCTACTTCTTACATTTTGAACTCAAATACCTGTACTTTCTACTTCTTACATGTTGAACCCAAATACCTGTACTTTCTACTTCTTACATGTTGAACCCAAATACCTGTACTTTCTACTTCTTACATGTTGAACACAAATACCTGTACTTTCTACTTCTTACATTTTGAACTCAAATACCTGTACTTTCTACTTCTTACATGTTGAACACAAATACCTGTACTTTCTACTTCTTACATGTTGAACCCAAATACCTGTACTTTCTACTTCTTACATTTTGAACTCA